CAAAATTTACCTCTTAACGATTCAAATGTTGTCTCTTAATGGAATTATTAAGATGTAAACAAACAACCCCTTAATTATAAACAATCTCTTAGACTGATTAATAAGATATTATTAAATTTTAAAAAATAAACTAATTTATGATTATTAAAACAAATAAATTTTTTTCCTTAGAGCAACTAATATGACAAAACAAAATTAAGCTTCAAACTTAATATTTCTTAATAAATAAATAATCCATTAACTATGGTCGTAAACTACAGCCGCTTAATTGGTCAAATTTGGTTGCGTATGCAATTTTGACTTTCAGTTAAGTTAGGCCAAAATGTGGCCAAACCTCTATCCTCTAATCGATCTATATTTTCTTATAAAATTTTTGGCTAAAATTTTTAAAAAAATTTAAAACTCTTAAACTCGTTCATCCCTAAACGATTTCATCTTTATCCGATTTCATTATATATCTGAATTCGTGTAACTAACTGCAGATAAACACAATCAAATACAAAATAAACATCTCATTTTAAATATAAAAAATCTAAAATATAATTAGGATAATCATTAAGTGCTAACAGAATACTTAATTATTATAATATTATAAAATATTATATTAAACCAAAAATAAATTATTTCATTATTTTTGAACTAATAAATTATAAAACATAATTTCATAGCTAAACATGATTATTCAGTAGTGACTTGTTTATATATAGGGTGACTTTATTCAATAAGATTTCAAGGGGAAGTTTTATGAGAAACCTAAGTTTTTTCGAAACCTGATCTTTATAATTAAAAAACACACTCATTCAATTTATGAAAAGCATCCCTCAACAAAATATTTCTCAAAGTATACAGATAAATTAATTTGCATATACAACTATATATATATATATATATATATAATTTAGGGGTTGTTTGACAATTGTTGAATGATTTGGTGTAGAATGATTAAATGGTCAGATGCATTAAGAGACTTTCATTATATAATGCAAAATGAAATATAATTGTTTGATAATTGTTTACAATGAAATTAGGGTGCAGAATGATTAAGGAAGACCCAAGATACAAAATCATTCAGATTGTTTTAAAACCTTTAAGAGACAGGTTTTTTTTTCAAACAAAATTTACCTCTTAACGATTCAAATGTTGTCTCTTAATGGAATTATTAAGATGTAAACAAACAACCCCTTAATTATAAACAATCTCTTAGACT